GAGAAGTGCACAGTGAGCAGATTGAGTAAGACTGTGAAATACAGTTGGGCTCCAAAATTTGCATTCATGAAAACGTGAGTGAGCAGGAAAAACATTTCTATTCTTTATTTCTATTATTTCTATTATTTATTATGGGATTCATACTCTACTGTAGGTCATAACAGAATGGCACAATCATAAGACAAAAAACATGGCAACAAGTAAACAAATGAAATGACCCCCGTTCAAAAGTCTGCATACCTTTTAGTTCTTAATACTGTGTATTGCCCCTTTAGCATCAATGGCAGCGTGCAGTCTTTTGTAATAGTTGTCTACGAGGCATAATGCCTCCAGGTCATGCAAAGTCTTTGGTCAGCTTGCATGAACCACACGTTTGAGATCTCCCTAGAGTGGCTCGATGATATTAAGGTTAGGAGACTGTGATGGCCACTCCAGAACCTTTACCTTATTTTTGCTGTAACCACTAGACAAGGAACAACTTGGCCTAGTGCCAAGTCGTTGTCATGCTGGAAAGTCCAGGGGTGACCCATCATCTTCAGAATCATCTGGCTTCTTAGACCACTTAAAAGTCTATCAACAAGATTTCCCTACCATATTTAATGCCCGCCTTGGAGTGTCTATACTCCTGCTGCATTCTCCCTATTACCATTTTCCTATCCTATAGTACTAAAGCTGGATTGTCCTTTTTGGCTTCTTACTGGGGAATTCTTTCTCTAGTCCTGAATTTAGCTTAACAGAGCATGCCTCACCATTGATATTCCACACCCTTTACATAAATTGGTCTCTTTCCTGTAATAACAGATAAGTGCCGCGCTTCTCAATATTATAATCCCATATCGTGTAATTCAGTAAACCATATATTCTTCAGTACAGTTCCAATCATATAATAATATATTCACAGTCCACAGTGCACTAAGATCACAGTACACAGTGCTATTGTATTATGTTTTTCATCAATCACTTTATATCATTCCACCACTTTTGCCAATGTAAATTTATAATGCGACATGTACACCCTCCACCAGATGTGTTCTCACCTGGGCTATACAGATCAACTCCACAAGATCCTCCTTAGTGACTCTGTGTTCCTTTATAGGTATAAGCTCCAATCAATGACTCTCCTCAGTCACACATAAAAAGAGAAACCATCAAACATAGTGCCTTTTCCTTTTAAACAATTTATTGCTTCTTATTGAAAAACTTCCAGACATACACTCACGTTTTACAGGTGCTCAAGCGCACCAAACTTTTGCAGCATATATATTATATCCAATAACAATCAGATGTTGTACACGGTGCATAATTATCACACTGCCTTGAGTCCAGAGTGTCGTGACTTTTTGACTTCATCAGGATGGGCCCCTGATGAAGCCACGTGACCCTGTGGTATAACGCATAGGAGAGGAGCTGGAGGACTTCATGACGCTTTGGACTCGAGACAGTGTGGTAATTATACACTGTTTTGAGCACCTGTAAAATGAGAGCATATGTCTGGAAGTTTAGGAAGCAATACGGTATGTTTAAAGGGTAAAGCAATATGTTCGGTGGTTTCTCTTTTTATATGTGCAGCTGAGGAGAGTCATCAAGTGGAGCTTATATCTATAAAGGAACACGTAGAGCCACTAAGAAGGGTCTTGTGGAGTTGATCTGTGTGAGAAGGTTCTAATAAGTCCATTAAAAGGGATTCAAATGCTGAATGACAATTTTTAATTGTACGGTCATACAGTATATCCCAGGTGAGAGCACATCTGGTGGAGGGTGTTCATGTCACATTTATAGTTACATTGGTACAAGCAGTGGAATTATATAAAGTGATTGGAGAAGAACTTAATACAACAATAACACGCTGGCCTGTGATCTTAGTGCACTGTAGACTATGAATATATTATTATATGATTGGGACTGTACTGAAGATTATATGGTTTATTGAATTGCACAATATGTAATTATAATATTGTGAAGCACAGCACTTATCTGTTGTTATTAGAGCACGGCTGTATGGGAGTGTGTATGATGTGAGTGATTCACAGTAAGCATTATTTGAATCATACCAGCTCACAAGGGTATTATATACATTGCATTTAGATGGTCTCTCTTCTGTATCCTGCCTACAGAACACATTGATCTCTCCTAATCTAAAATACTTGATTTATGTATTTGAAGTGGTAGTAAATATAGGGGTGTATATAAGTAAAAAACCAGCACCACGGAAAATGTATAAGACAACAGTAAGCTGCAAAACCTAGCCTATAAATTTACAGGATATACAAAACTTCAAAAAAATAGGTTGCGCTTAAATACATCCAAAAGTGTAACAAAAAATTTAACAAACAATAAGAAACACTATTTTAAATCGAAATAAAATCCAGCAAAAATGAAAAAGTCCAAAAGTTCAAATAATAATGTCCAAAATAATGAATCGTCAAGTGAATCCACCACCAAAAATGGTTAAATAGAACTCACCAGAGTAATATGCTGATTGTTGAAAAACCAGCATATAGTACTTGTTACTCTGGGAGCAATGAATAATATGGTGACAGCAACACTGAAGAAATGGGGGATGAACTCCAACGGATGATGTGCTGCAAAGCTGAAAATCCACTCCAAAGGTGTTTTAGTATCCAAACTGAGAGATGATCAGACCGTCACTCAAAAAGAAAAAGTAAATAATCATGGTGCAGTATGTTTTAAAAAGCATCAAACTTTAATGAAGAAATGCACTTACAAGCAAGGTGTCCAGACTGACACCAGTATAGACAGCATGTGTAATGAATACAAGCGACTCAGACCCAGCTAATCATGCACATGCAACGTGCAAACAGACCAGGAGAGTTCTGAACGTCACATCCAAAGGCACCGCCCTAAGCTTTTCGCCATCAACGTCCTCATGCACATGCAACGTGCAAACAGACCAGGAGAGTTCTGAACGTCACATCCAAAGGCACCGCCCTAAGCTTTTCGCCATCAACGTCCTCACTGAGCGGATGAGGATGTCCACGTGATAAATTGCATTTTTTTAAATTAATTTAGATTAGAATATTTACATTATGTCAATTTTTATGTGCAATTTGTTCAAGTAGATCAACCTTTATCTGTAGGCCTTGTTTGAATACAGTTTCAATGTTTGCCTGTTCAAATATGTTAGGAAAAAACTATTTCCACGGTGTGTGTACTTTTTCACAAGACTGTAAACAAAGAACAGGCAGCATGAGACACCTACAAATAATATACCCAACAAGAGGAGGACCGGACTGCTCTGTGCAAAACCTTTGCACAGAGCAGGTACAGTGCCTTGAAAAAGTATTTATACCCCTTGACGTGTTCCACATTTTGTCATGTTACAACCAATAACATAAATGTATTTTATTGGGATTCTATGTGATAGACCAACACAAAGTGGCACATAATTGTGAAGTGGAATGGAAAATAATAAATGGTTTTAAATTTTTTTTTTTTACAAATAAATACCTGAAAAGTGTGGCATGCATTTGTATTCAGCTCCCTTTACTGTGATACCCCTAACTAAAATCTAGTGGAACCAACTGCCTTCAGAAGTCACCTAATTAGTAAATGGAGTCCACTTGTGTGTAATTTAATCTCAGTATAAATACAGCTGTTCTGTGAAGCCCTCAGAGATTTGTTAGAGAACATTAGTGAGAAAACAGCATCATGAAGGCCAAGGAACACACTAGACAGGTCAGGGATAAAGTTGTGGAGAAGTTTAAAGCAGGGTTAGGTTATAAAAATATATATATATATATCCCAAGCTTTGAACATCTCACGGAGCTCTGTTCTGCCATACTCTTTCCATTTTTGGATAATGGATTGAACTGCAAACCTACCAAGACATGGCCATCCACCTAAACTGACAGGCTGGGCAAGCAGAGCATTAATCAGAGAAGCAGCCAAGGGGCCCATGGTAACTTTGGAGGAGCTGCAGAGATCCATAGCCCAGGTGGGAGAATCTGTCCACAGGACAACTATTAGTCATGATCTCCACAAATCTCCACCTTTATGGAACAGTGGCGAGAAGAAAGCCATTGTTGAAAGACCAAAATTTTAACTTTTTGACCTAAAAACAAAATGCTGTGTGGCAGAAAACTAACACTGCACATCACCCTGAACACACCATCCCCACCGTGAAATATGGGGTGGCAGCATCATGTTGTGGGGATACTTTTCTTCACAGAGGGCAGGGACAGGGAAGCTGGTCAGAGTTGATGGGAAGATGGATGGAGCCAAATTCAGGGCAAAAAAACCTGCTAGAGTCTGCAAAAGACTTCAGACTGGGGTAGAAGTTAACTTTCCAGCAGAACAATGACCCTAAACATACAGCCAGAGCTACAATGGAATGGTTTAGATCAAAGCATATCCATGTGTTAGAATGGCCCAGTCAAATTCCAGACCTAAATCCAATTGAGAATCTGTGGCAAGACTTGACAATTGCTGTTCAGACGCTCTCCATCCAATCTGACAGAGCTTAAGATATTTTGCAAAGAAGAATGGGCAAAAATTTCACTCTCTACATGTGCAAAACTGGTAGAGATATACCCAAAGAAAATTTGCAGCTGTAATTGCAGCGAAAGGTGGTTTTACAAAGTATTGACTCAGGGGGGCTGAATACAAATGGATGCCACACTTTTGAGATATTTATTTGTAAAAAATGTTGTAAACCATTTATCATTTTCCTTCCACTTCACAATTATGTGCCACTTTGTGTTGGTCTATCACATAAAATCCCAAAAAATAAATTTACGTTTTTGGTTGTAACATGACAAAATGTGGAAAATTTCAAGGGGTATGAATACTTTTCAAGGCACAGTAAGTATGACATGTATGTTGTTGTTTTTTTGTTTTGTTTTTTTTATTGCCTTTTTAATATCACTTTAACTTTCTGGTATTTCCCAAGAAATAAAAAACATTTTAGCATTGCATTAAGCCAGTTTTGTTCACTGTATTCATGTATGGACTTTTATAGCTGCATCATTTTCCCTCTGCAGGATTGTCTGTGAAATGGAAGAGTCACTGGTTCCTAACCCTGCCCCTGGTGTGGTGGAGCTTTGTATTGGAGACTGCAGCGCTGAGTATAGAACACAGTCTGATCAGCTTTACACTTTTGTGGTAAGATTATTAAAAGCATGTTAAAATGTAGCCGAACATATGCGTAGACCCTAGAGAACATCCCTTGAATTTTTGTAAAATGTCTTGGTTGTGGCTTACTTTGTATAACACAAGTCACTGTGTCTTCCAAGATGTAAAAAAGACTTTGATTTTCAGTCACTGCCCATTTAAAAAGCCAACTGTTCTTGTTGACCATCACAATCCAGTAATCTGTGCCATTCTCCATCACTTCACCAGAGATGGAATTGGAACATTGTGACAATAAGAACATCATTTTTTATCGCTGGTTCACACCGGTATGATTTGTCATGTGTTTTGACCGTTCCAAATCGCATGACAAGTCACACCCCATTGCCAGCAATGGAATCGTTCAAATCGTCATGACTCATGTTGCAGCAACTTTGAAAAAGGTTTCTGCACTACTATTTCACGATTTCATTGCAATTTGCATAGACTTTAAAATGCATAGACTGTTAAATGCAGTTGCAAGCGGCAAAGAAATCGGGTGCAAATCGTGCTGAAGCAGCACAATTTCAAAGCCACACTGGTGTGAACCAGAGCTTGTACACATTTGATCGTACATACATTGTAACCACAACCTTTTCCTGTAAGGAAAGCTCTGCTAGCTTGGGCTGTCTAAATGGACATTTTTACTCGCTGTCAAAAAATGTCCAAAAATACATTGCAAACTTTGCCACTAATTGCTCATGGCCTTTTTATATTGAACATATGTTAGTTTGACGGAGTTGTTGTTAAAGAATAGAAAAGAAGATTTTGTCTTTGAAAAGTTACAAGACAGCAGTGACATTTTAGTTTAGACAGCAGTGACATTTTTAACTTGCAGCTTGCTGAAACAAGAATTCAGAGTGTTCTTGTTTGTAACCAGCATTCATGGATGCTTATAGGATCCAAGGCAGTGAAACATTGACACCTAAAGTCCAAATACTAAAAATTGGAATCAAAATAAGCTGACACCTGGTTCCTCCATGTACTGATGACTGAATATGTCAATATACCGACACATGAGACCTTAAAATGCAAATACTCGGGACCTCCAAATGCTGACATTTGAGACTTCAGCGCACTGCATGCTGAAATGTGGGATCTCCGTATACTGACAGTAGGGACTCCAAATAATGGCACACTGACACTCGGGGGTCTCCAAACACTGACATGCTGAAATTTGGGGAGGGGCAGGGTCTCAGAACAATGAAATAATAAAAACCCTAAACCCTTGGTTATTTCTCTTATGAGTTTTTTCTCTCTGCCTGTAGACTCCTACTTTTCATGAAGTGAGCCCCAGGCAGGGCCCAGCATCGGGTGGCACTCGACTTACTATTAGTGGTAAAAACCTGGATGCTGGTAGCACTGTGTCTGTACTGGTCAGAGACTCAGAATGCCGCTTTGTCAAGTAAGTTTTTGCTCTTTCTTCTCAACAGCTGTAATCTGTCTTGTTACCCTTTATACCATCAATTGTCATATCTCCTTTTTGTTACACAACAGGAGAAATTTGCGTGAAATTGTGTGCATATCACCAGCATCATCGCAGGGCCCCAGCACAGCCACTATCACTCTGCGAATTGATCGGGCCAGCGTTTGGAACCAAGATGTAATTTTTACTTACACTGAAGACCCCACTGTCTCTCGAGTGGAGCCAGCTTGGAGTATTTTCAAGTGAGTGGGGTCAGGAGTGGTCACATTCAGACAGTCAACTTCTACTCAGTCATTGTTCTTCAGCACTTCCTGTTTGTGTGCCCCGACCAGTCTCAAGTTTTTCATTTTGTATGCAGTAATTGATACCCTTATATGCTTTGTGGATGTAATTACCTTTTGTCTGCTGTTTACATTTCTTTCTGAACAGTGGCAGCACAGCAGTCACAGTGACCGGGACCCACCTAATGACCATTCAGGATCCAAGAATTCGGTCAAAGTATGCTGGCATAGAGACCATAAATGTAAGTGGAAGAGAATTCTGTCTTCATTGTCAATGAAGTGCAACTTTATGATCACTTCACTCAGTCATATTTAAGTTCTCAGAATGCATTTGGTAGACTGGCTTCTCTGACAGATTTTCTACTGCACTGTGGGGCAGTGATAATGGAAACCCTGTAAATAGTAGTTAAAGTATTTGTGTTGTGTTATGTTTGGCCTGTACAGACCTTTTTATAATGTTTATGTCCTGTATGAATGGCTAAAGCTAGTATTTTATTCACATATTTCTGCTACACTCTACAGCCAGGCAAATGACACACTTTTTTTAGCGACTTATTGAGGAACACAGGAATACAGAGACTGTTGGATTATACTACTGCCTGCAAGAGAATTTGGACACCGGCAAATGAAAAAATAGTGACCAGTCCAGTATAATCTCTCCCCCCTCCACCACTCCCAGCATGAATCAGATTTTGCCTGCAGTGAATAGATTGACACGGATATCCAGGAATTTTGTCCTCTGCTTGAGTCTATTCAACCTTCTGAATCTCATTTCCATCTGGAATGGCCTCTTCTTAGGCCCTATGCCAGGAGGATAGTGCCAAATCTTTCAGTTATGCAAGGTTATTATGGGCCACATGCAACCTTAAAAACTTACTGTGACCACAAAGGCCATAAGCATGCTTCCATGCCTACTTCTGCAAAATCCTTATCTGATCTACCTGCAGCTTTAGCAGCCTTTGAACCTTGGCCACTGAGCACCTATCAGGTGTTGGGTTTCTTAACTCACTAACAGACATTGTTACTCCTGAGAAATTGCAAGCTATTTCTCCCAGGCTTAAAGAGATTGTATCAGCTCTCATTGACATGGTTCTCACCACATTAAAATTAGAGAATGAGTCTTAGGCTTCAATCAGTGAGGTTCTGGACTCAGCAGTTTCCTGCCTTAACACAGCTTTACCCATTCCTGTAGGGGATTATCTTGTGTTCATGGACCACATTGGCAATTGTTTTGGAAGCCCTCTCAAAAACCATGTTCTTTCTGACAGACGCTAACCATCAGAAGAAATCTGCTTGTCATTCAATCTAATCCTTTGATTGTGAAGCATCTGGAACGCTGACCTGCAGCCTTAATCTACTGTGTAGAAGGGTTGTTGAAAGTCTCCATTCTCATTTCTTATGGGTCTCCTGTCCATGAACATGAGAACTTTTTCACTCAGGTGCTTAGCTGCAGAACTGCTTTACATTCCTTTTAAGGAACATCGTCTCTTAGGAGCTGAACTGGACACCTTCATTAAAAATGCTACCAGGAGCAAGAGTGCCCATTTTGACCCAACAGTAGTCCCAGAAGCCTTACCCCTTTTTGGAGGCCATTACTTCCAAGCCTGAAACTCCAAAGTCCAGGTCAAGCCTGGTAATCAGTCCACCGGCATACCCCTAGACTTCCAAGTCCCCCAAGCCTTCAGACTTGTCTGCCTCAGCATGAGGGTGTCCACCCATTTTGTGGGGAGGGGGGGTATCTGTTAGCCTTTGTAAACATTTGGTCAGCCAGCATATTATATGCTTGGGTGAGCGAGGTGGTTTCTAGGTGATAAAAGCTAGAATTCTTCTCTCAGTCCATCCTCTGTTCATGCCATCCAACCTGCTTGTGTAATCACAGGTTAGCAGATTTCCATGTCACCTTGGCAGTCTTCTGGACCAAGGGGTTATAGCTTTAGTACCTGAGGCGGAACAGCTCCAGTTCTACCCAGACCTGCTTAGTCCCAGAACCCATAGGGGACATCCACTTGGTATTTAATTGGATCCTAAACCTTAAGAAATTGGTTCTGAATTCAACTCATTACTAGAGTATCCGGGTCTCTTCCTACACAGCTCAAGTCAGTTTTCCTTCCCCTATAGAAACTTGAAACTCTGTGCTCCCAGACTCAAAATCTTCAGTCCAAGAGTCAGCCAGATCTTTACATCAGAGTTCTAAGACTGATGGTAGCCTCTTTCAAAGCAGTCCTGTTTATCCACTTCACTCCAGACCTCTACAACTCAACTATGTGAGACAAGTTATTTCAGTCTGTCTTTGGGAGGACAACTTGCTTCAGTCTCTGGACAAACCGATTTGCCACACACCATGGACCCATCTTCCCTGGCCCGGTGGCTCAGGAATCCAGCTCTTGAATTGGAGAGGTCTTCCTCCCGATGTCTTGGATGATCCTCATGACGGATGTCAGTCTGTTTGACTGGAAGGGAGTCCTATGCACCCTGTTGGTGCAGGTGACTTGGACATCGAAAAAATCTTGTCTCCTGATCAAAATTTTGCAGCATTGCTACAAATTTGGTTGTCCCTGCAATGCTGGATGGCCCAACTAGAGGGTCATCTGGGCAGAATTTAGTCATACAACACCACAGCACTGGCATACATCAACCACCAGGGAGAATCCAGAAGTCTTCCAATGGCAAGAGAGGTAGAAAAAATTCTGTCTGGGAACTTCACGCTCCAGCTTTGTCCACTATTTACATACTAGATGTGGACAATTGGCAAGCAGACTTTTTCAGCCAGCATTGCCTGGATCCTGGTGAATGTTACCAACAATGGAGGTAATTCAGAATATGAAGCTGCTTGCCCCCAAGTTCAAAAACAAACTGGGTAGGTTTGTTTCCAGGTACATAGATCCTCTAGAGCAGGGGTCTCCAAATTTTTAAACAAAGGGCCAGTTTACTGTCCTTCAAACCTTAGGGGGCTGGACTGTGTCCAGTGGGAGAAAACAATGCCCCTTCTCTGATATTAAGGGGAGAAAAAATGCCCCATCATTGGTGTCAGTGGGGGGGAATAATACCCCATCGTTGGTGTCAGTGGAGGAAATAGGACCCCATCATTGGCGTCAGTGGGGGGGAATAGGGCCCCGTAATTGGTGTCAGTGGGGGGAATAGGGCCCCGTCGTTGGTGTCAGTGTGGGGAATAGGGCCTCATTGTTGGTGTCGGTGGGGGGGAATAGGGCCTCATTGTTGGTGTTGGTGGGGGGAATAGGGTGCCATCGTTGGTGTCGGTGGGGGGGAATAGGGTGCCATCGTTGGTGTCGGTGGGGGGGAATAGGGTGCCATCGTTGGTGTCGGTGGCGGGGAATAGGGCCCCATTGCCGCGTCAGTTGAAGGAATAGGGCCCCATTGTTGGTGTCAGTTGAAGGAATAGTGCCCCATTGTTGGTGTCAGTGGACTGGATAAAGCCTCATCTTTGGTGGCAGTGGGGGGTTAGCACCCCATGTTTGGTGTCATTGGGGGGAGGGGGGGAAATAGTTCCCCAATGTTGGTGTCAGTGGAAGGAATAATGCCTTATTGTTGGCGACAGTGGCAGGAATTATAGACCCATTGTTGCTGTCAGTGAAAGAAATAATGCCTCAAGGGCCGGATAAAGGCAAGCAAAGGGTCACAAATTGGAGACCACTGCTCTAGAGGAAGCAGTGGATACTTTGATGTCTCCATTGGATTAGTACATCCTGATCTATGCTTTTCCTTCCCTAAAACCCCTTCCTTACCTACTATGCAGCAGGTGAGTAAATTTGGTACTCGCACCTAATCAAATTCCTGGCAGATGCTCCGTGGGTTCTTGCAGATCTTCTGGTCTAGTTTACCATCCTGCTTCATGGCTGCTCGCTTTAACAGCATGGCTGTTACCCAGGTCTTGAGGAGCGGGGGAATCTCCAAATCAGTAATTTCCACAATAATGAAGGTGAGGAAGTGATCCTCACACATAGAAGGCATATTTTGCTTGGTGCTAGTAGAGAAACTGCCATCCCGAAAGATTCTAGCTGAGACGAATCCTGACTCTTACACAGGGACAAGATGATGTGAGCTTAGACCCTCCTCTCTTCGTTAGGTGGTTTTAGCCTTTCACCTCAACCAAGACAATGTTCTTCTGTCCTGGCTTCAGTCCATCAAAAGAAACATTGTTCTTCTGTCCATCTGGTTTTAATTCATCAGAAGGGGATCTCCCTCCAATGCCTGAATGTAGTTCCTGCTATGTGTCTACCTTGCAGCCACTTTTTCCATTAGTAAGACTGACTCTGTCATTTTGATGGTCCCAGTAAAGAGGATACAGTTTTAGGGATTGGGTTCCATCCTTTCCTGTTAAGGAGCACTCTACTAGAACTTTGAGTGTTTCTTGGGATTTTTGTCATTAGGCTATGTTTTCCCAGATTTGCAAGGCTGCCACCTAGTATTCTGTTCACACATTCTCCAAGTACTACCAGGTGGATGTTCAGGCCTCTTCTAATGCCAGCATAAGGTGTTTTTTTTTTCGATTGACTATCAGTTGGACTGCTTTTTGATGTCTCAGAAGTCTCTGAATGTCTGTGTCCTTCAATATCCACAAAAGAAAATTGGATATTTGTACTTGCCATAAACTCCATTTCTTATTGTTTTGAAGGACACAGGTCTCACCCCTGTCTGTCTATATTGATGTTTTTGCTACTGGTTTTCCACCAAGCGTGGGTGTGTTGGATATAGGAGGGGTTATACCAGGCTGGTAACTTGGATGCTGACTGAATTGCTGAATTCTTTGACATACTGATGGCCACTACAAGGAAGACTTGCAAAACTATTCAAGCTATGATGATGCATACATGATATCAATGAAATACAGATGTGAAAATCTAATTTAAAAAAAAAACGTGAAACCAACCAGTGTTCCAATAAACTCATCACTCCCTAAAAATACATGATTGTTTCCACTTAATTACAAATTAATCTACTAACCATGACATTTTCTGCACTTTTCAGACATGTCACATCCTTAACGACACACTGATGCTCTGCAAGGCTCCAGGAATCTACACCTCTAATGGAGAGGCTGTTCCAGAAGACGGTGTTCAGCCAGATGAGTTTGGTTTTGTCTTGGACAATGTAACAAGCCTTCGCACCTTGAACTTCACCACATTTACCTACTACCCCAACCCCGTGGTGGAGCCCTTCGGGCCTGGTGGCACTCTGGAGATAAAGCCAGGCTCCCATGTCATCCTCAAGGTATTGAAAATAAACCCATTGTGAATATTAACCTAAAGTTAAATTGTGTACCAAGCAAAGACTTGTTAGTTTTGAATAGAGTGAGGAAGGATTAGAACCCATGTCGGATTTTTTTTTTTCTGCTATCCGGGACTCTATTAAAGAGTTTTTCACACAAACTTTTCAACTGTAACACTGAGAAATGTATAAATGTGTTTTAGTAGAGGGGGAGAAGGCTAGAAACCTTTTAGATATTTTTTTTATGTTTGTGTTGAAGATATAGATTTTCCCTTGCTTCTTGTCTTGAATAATAGTGTGTCTTTGACTTATAACCTTGCTTTCTTGAAACATCTTACTTTTCCACTACTTCTATTCTGGGTATTTTTTTTTCTGACAAATTCATGGCGAGTGTGTCTGCTTTTTTTTTTTTTTCATCTAGGGAAGAAATCTGCAGCCTGCTGCCCCTGGAGGAGCAAAGCTGAACTACACAGTGCTAATCGGGGATGAACCGTGTGCACTTACGGTGTCCGACACTCAGCTGCTGTGTGATTCTCCCAGCCAGACAGGAGAACACCGCGTGACTGTAAGTTAAACATCCTGGCACTGTGGGGTATACATACTAGTAAACAGATGTTTGATAAGAAAGTTGATTCCACACCTCAGAGATATACCCTAATATACACTGATTTAGCATGTTTTCTGTATGAGGAAGCAAGAGGTATACATGGACAATTATTTTTCTTTATTTCTAGCCTACTATTACATTTGACTCTGTTGGATCATCTACTGTAGCTTTTATTCTGAGTCCCATAAACCTTGAAATTTGTTGTTGCACTGCCAAATTTCCCTTTTGGTATTGATGTTAGACTTTACTTCAGCTCTGTCTTCTGTGGATGGTTTGGTCCAAACATAAAATAAACCTTTTCTTTGCCCATACAATACAAAGCAACTGGTTTACTTTACATTTGGTCCTGGCCATCCACAACGGCTTATATCCCCCATTCTTTTGCTCCTCTGACACTATATCCAGTTCTTCGAGGTATAGGAGTGCTGGTGCTTGGCCCAGTGTTGCCACATTGAGGCAGGAATACAATCCTTAGCCCTGTGTAAGCAAAGACATGGATCAACATTGAAGTTACAAAGGGCTTATCTTTCTCACTTCCAGCAGTGGGTGGCAAAGGTGAATATAAGCTGCTGGTGGTGATGGTTTTAAATGGACTTGTTGTTCTGTCCTGCATAGGCAAAGCAAAGATTTACTTTAAAACAATCCTAAGGATTAAAAACTAAAAGTTTGGCCACAACAGAAGGTAACTTGGAATATCTGTTCTGTTACTTTTTATAAGCTGAAAACCATTTTGTGTGGTGTGGAAGATTCTGTGCCCACTCTGACAGCAGTTGTTTGCTTTACCTGCCAGCCCTGCCTTCTGGAGATAATTATCACCCACCATCCCTCCTTGGATTAAGAGTTTATAATGGGTGGCTGGGACTTAAAGTGGAGTTTCAGTCACACTGTAAAAAAATAAAGTCAGCAGCTACCAAAACTGTAGCTGCTGACATTTAAAATTAAAAGCCACTCACCTGTCCCTCGATCCCACCGTGTGCTCCCCGCAGCCCGTTTCAAGGGCCATGCGGTGTTCCTCAGTGTAGGCACCTGGCTGTGACAGCTTGTGGCTTCACAGCCGGGTGCCCAGTGCGCATGCGCAAGTAGCGCTGCGCTTTCTGAATGGTCCCGTAGTCTTCTGAGACCTGTCACGTGTCCCAGAAGACTACAGGGGGCCTAGGCGATCGCAGTGGGAACGGGTGTCTGTCCATTTTGGGTACCCGCTCCCCAAAGGTGCCAATCCTTAATGGGGAGTGGGACCCTGTCTTTAAAGCGGAACTTCCCCATTTGGGTGGATCTCTGCTTTAACTGGAAAGTCGGGGAAGTCAAGCTCCCAAGTTGTAAGGTAGAATTGTTTTAGTTTTAATCTTTAAACTGACAAATTTTGGTGCCCAACCTCCACCATATTCCTTATACAAACTGGCAGTTAGGCTCTCCCATTTTACCCTTCCCCTCTGCTAGGCTGGCTTCTCCAGCCTTGTCTGGTAGATGTGCACCCCCCTTCCTCCTTGACAATTGTTCAGTCCAGATAGATTGAGAAAATAAATTTGTTCTCTTTGTTTGTAGATTCTTGTTGGAGGGATGGAATTCTCTCCGGGAAGTCTCCGGATCTACTCCGACAGCTCCCTCACCCTGCCAGCCATAGTGGGGATCGGTGCTGGGGGTGGATTGCTGCTGCTTGCGATCATTGCTGTTCTCATTGCCTATAAGAGGAAAACACGAGATGCCGACCGCACCTTGAAACGCCTGCAAATGCAAATGGATAATCTGGAGTCACGGGTTGCTTTGGAGTGTAAAGAAGGTACGTTTTGAAATAAAGAAATACTGGCTATACATATATTGATATTTCATTTGAAGGACCTTTCATGTCATCGACCATTCAGTCCAATTATTTGGTTAAATGGCTGAAACAATTGATTAGTGCAACTTGAACTTCACCTGCTTCAATGCAATCACTTTCAATGTCAAATGTTTCTTGGAAAAACAATGTCACAGCACATCTGCCTTGATTACCTTCAGATAGGTGGCTACACTGCAGTATGTCTTTTAACTTCCTGTGCAGCCACCTTTTTAGAAGCTCAGCAAGAAAGGACTGCAAGTGTGCTTGTTTAAGTACAATGTTTCACAGAATCAGCCCCTCTGAAGGGGTGACACAGTTTTCTGGGACCTAGACTAGGCGATCAACTCTAGGTACCCACTCCCCTGCAAAAGAAAGTGCCAAATATTAAAGAGCAGCAGGTGGGGGTTTAAAGCAAAACTTCCCATTTTGGGTGGAGTGCAGTCCACGAAGACTTACCTCCCCACCAACACTCTAACATCCGCAAGGTCCCTCACAGGCACTGGGGCATCTTCTCTTTGGCTTCTTCTGGGTGCCAGGCATTTGACTATATGGCCTGTGTGGGGTGACGTCACTCCTGTGCATGTGGAGTAGTCCATTTATCCCAGCACACAGGCACCATGCCGAGGTTGTACCCTGAGCTGTGCATGTTCTGGCACCAACCAGTACAGAGTGAATCTTCTAAGTGGAGCCCTGAAGACAGAAGCTGACAGTGGCTCCAATCCCTCACCACTCTCTCTAAATCTACAAAAAAAGTTTGTCGTCGTTAGCTATGCTTGAGCATTAGGACAACTGCCCCAGATCAGTGATCAGCAATATTTGTCGGCAATAATCGTGGCTGGATTTTTTCATTCCTGTAGATCTGTAGATTCTCGGCTGTTCATATCATTCAGCAGTAATGTATTGTTTACAGTGGTACTGCTACCAGAGCTCTGATCATAGACTTGCACTGTGAAAAGAGGAGACGCAATACACACTTACTGCTAATTAGCAGAAGAACCTAAATTGGCTACAGGCATAAACAGCTGCAATAATGTGCAGTTATTAACTACTCATAAAAATGAAACCCACCTTGATAAAATTATTTATTAAATGGATATCCTAAAACAAATCCTCTAAAACAAATGACAGCAATATTAGCACAATAATTTTGATCAGTTTTCAGCACAGCTGAACGGAAAACAGTATACGTTTTGAGGAATAACAGACCTCATCATCACTGAACAACTGCTTCCTGGCAGGCGTTCTGGGGCTTGTAGTTCCTCAGTAAAGTCACAGTTGCTTGCACATGAAGGCTTGCAGCCTGGTGGCAATTGTGGGGTTAATAGAGTGCAGATGACCTCATGCAGAGAATGCCTCATCTTGGTGCTTTTTCTCTTATCTTGATCAATAAATCTTTACACTGCTGCTGCAGTGGCTATATGGCAAGAAGTGGGGGAAGGGTAGCGCATACTATTAGGGGTAAATGGAAGATTAGAGGATGGGCAAGTGATTAATTATACTGAGCTGTCACTAGGTAAATGCTGCAAAGTCACAACAACAGATCGCAATCCAATGAGCGTACTTATAAGGGGTAAACGCTGCCTTTTTACAGCAGAAAAATTCTCGCATTCTTCTGTTTTTATTTAGCTATATAGTATATTTGTTTGAGACTGTTTAGGGCTGCATTGAGCTTCACTGGCAGTTTCAGTCAGGTTAATAACCTTGCTCTGTGCACAGGGCCTCCTGTGTGGGTATCAAAGGAAATCTATTAGGATTAAAATTCAGAATCCACTATATCTGTTTGATCTTCTCAGTTAATAGCAAGAGTCACTGACCCTGAACCAATGTGAAATCAGGAGTTCTTAGTTCACTTACAACATGCTTAATACAGGTCAGTCACTAAACTATCGAATCCAGAGACAGCTGGAAACAAGCATATACAGGTTTCCTTTAAATAAGGACAGATCAGTTGTGTACAAAAGTGGTGACAGCTGTGATCGGTATAAAGCATCATATGGGCAGGGCCATAATTATTTCTTTGGAGCACAGAACGTCTGGCACAGTCTGCAGAAGAAAAGCTGAAAATTTTAATGCAAAAAGTGTTCTGGAGAGGCTAGAATGGGAGACACTGATCAGTGGTGAGTGTCCCTTTAAATGTTGGTGGTCATCACTACCATAACATTGGCATTCAGTGGCCTGTACTCTGCCTCTAGGGCCGTCTTTGAGGGGCAAAAGGGGCAGCTGCCTTGGGCCCAGTCATTGTTATGGGGCCCAAAGCAGCTGTCCCATACTTGCCAACTGTTCCAGTTTACGTTCCCCTGTCCCTTGAAGTCTTTGTCCCAATATCTCAGTGTCAAGTGCTGTCACCTATACTGCCCAGCTTTGCCCTATTGCCATGTACAGATGACTCCTGTGCAGACTGTGTCAGCATTTACATGTAAATAACTTGCGTCCATATGTAAATAGCAACAGAAATGTGGCATTCATATGTAAATAACGGTGGCAATGCGGCTTTTATATATATATATATATTATACCACCTGAAGTTCAAATCAAAATCACCTCTGCTGAATGCTGCCCACTGGGGAGGAAAATAGGGGCACGCTTGAAAGTCCTGCCTGCAACTGTGGTCACTCTACTAACATTCGCATAACAGGCTGATGGTAGGTAAAGTGGGAGGGGGGGGGTGCAGAAGTAGGCAGAAAAGGAATTAGTTTGGGGTGAGCAAAGGAGGCATGTAGAGTTAATGCGGGGGGGGGGGGGGGGGGGGGGGTTGGGATACAGAGGTTAGCAGGGAAACTTAGGATGCAAAGGTGTACTGATGGGGTGGATAAAGATGTATGCCATGTGTAGGGCAGCCCATTCATTTTAGTGGGCTGCTCTATGCACTAGAAATGCGGAAAAAAGTCTCTGGCCCTTTTTCAAAATTGCACTGAACCATACAGTGCCACAGCACCATGAATTTTGGTGCATGTGAGCAGATGCTTGGGGGTGTCATTAACAATGTCACTGCTGGGAGCCTGCTAGAGTAGCCTTTCTCAACGAGGATGCCCAGGGACCCTGGGGTGCCTTGAGGTTTCTTCAGGGGTGCCTTGGCAAAATGTCTAGAAATTGCCCAAAACTTGTATACAAGCCAGTGGGTGGAACAAGCCTGCCTTTTAGTTACACAAAGCCACAGGTTCCATTGTACACCATTACTACCTTCTAGCCGCTGGAGTCCTGACAACCAATGACATCACTTGATGAGGATTTCAGCTGCCTATACAGTATCCTAGTTTGACCCCCCCCCTGCCCCTCTCCATCAGTGCTGGGGTCACATCAGCTCAGTGATGGAGAAAAACTGAAGGGGAAGAGAAACACTGGAATACTAGTCAGTACCAGTGTGCAAAAGTGTATTTGCTTTGGAAGAATAAATCACTTCTAATGTTGGGTGTCCTACATTTGTGGATGTTGCTGCGTTATATAAAACTATTAGAACAATTTTTCACATTTTAGAATGGGGTGCCTCGGGACTGTCCATAATTTTAAAGGGTGCCTTGACTGAAAAAAGGTTGAGAAACTCTGTACTAAAGGGCAGCATGTTTCTGTAGTGTCAGGAAAGCAATTTTGCATTCGTTCCCGACATGCAAAAATGTGAACATAGGCTAAATACAGGTGGATAGTGAATTGCATGGGGGGGCCCAAGAAGTTGCGTGCCCAGGGTACAATCAATATTAAAGACGTTCCTGTTTGCTTCCCTGGGTGACATCATGCTTTAACTAGCTTTTGACACCACTCTAAAACACAAGCACAATGTGCAAGCTTCAAGCACATTGTGTTCATGATGTAAACTAAACCCATTACCCCTAGAGCTGCAAAACCACAGTTCTATCTCCTGCCACAAAATCCTAATTCAAATAACTCCTTGACTTTTATATACAGTTATTTCTAATTCTCTTGGTGCCTTATGCAATTTTACATTCAGCTACATCTTCACTGCTGACAGAAACCTCATTTAGGATTGGTGATGTCCCCTCCCCTCTGAATATCAGAATTTTAGCAATGACACAGCCATACCCTTGAGAATTTCATTAGCAGTCGGAGGCTTCATTGGTTATGATAACACAGCCCTCCCTACAGACATTAACAGCTGCCCATTCCAGCATACCAAGGTCATGCCAAGTGTCAGGAGCGGCGATGAGCGACGACTTCCTACAGGTGGAGGGAAAACCAAAGCCAGACAGCCAACACAGGCTGGAAAGAACTAATCTGCCATTGTTTTTACACAAATAGAAATTAGATAATTTAAATGAGTAATCTATACTAAAGCCAGCGGCTTTATTTCGATGACGAAGATGGCAGATCTTGAATTTGCGCATGGAGGGGACTGGGATGGCTTGTTGGGACTGAGGTTTTTGATGTGCGTGTGGGCTGAAGTCTGCTCACCTCCAGAGCCACATGTGGGGACAGGAGTGTGAAGGAGCCTTTCTGCACAGCGGCAGTGGGTCTGCTGGGGAAGGGTGCATATGGGGGTGCCACTGTGTGGAGAGGAAGAGAGAAACTTTGGCTCTGGTGCAGTTAAGCAGCAGAGCTGGAGTTTTTTTGTTTGTTTTTGGATGTTTGAGCTGGATTGGCTGCCCAGCATCTGGAGCTGCCTGGGCGTCGGGCAATGGGAGTTGCTCGCGCCTGGTGCCGAACGTCAGTGAGCTGGTGGATGTCCAGGTTGTGGGATGTGGTTTCTGGTTGCCATGGCGACCTGGAATTTGTCAAGCCCTGCCCCACCCCACCCCCCCTTATACCCTGGTTCCCCTCTCTATACATCTCTCCCCCCCTCCTCTGTATACACGCTGAGTCTGGTCTCCCCCCCCCCCCCCCCCCCCCCCCCCAATTTCTATATGCCCACACCCCTCTCTATACATACTTGCCCTGTCCTCCCACCTCTATATATGCCCCAGCTCTGGTCCTCCCCCTGTATACACCCCACAGTACACGTGTGTGTGTGT